TATTGATCTTCACCGTGTGTGTTTCTGAGTGTGTGTTTGTGCCATGTGTGCATATGGAACTAAGAGCTGGAGAATGTGCAGGCAGGTTATCTTCTCAAATGTCCGGAAGTCTCCCATGTGGCTATGACCTTCCTCCAGTTAAAAAAAATGATCTCATCCCATTATCTGAGCAGAGTTTTAGGAGATAGAGGTGCTGGTCCCGTACCATGCCAGGGTTCATCCTGTTTTAAACCACATCAGAGATCTTAAAGAAAACTCTAAACATCAGCTTGGCTGATAGTAATCAGTCCTAATACCTCCAGGCATTGCTGTAACTCAGTGTGTGAGGTTTGCTGTAGATACATGTGTATGTCAGGGTATGTAAAAATGCATGTGTTTTTTTTTCAATTCAGTGTAATGTCATCAAATAGATTCTACACAGATGATTTGTTATTTTGAAAGAATTTTAAATGAGCATCATCTTTTATATTACCAAAGTCTCGCTTAGTGTAACACATTCTATTTAAATTAGAGATGCATTAATATAAAAATTTTGTTAGATGTTAATGTTAAATGACTATTAGTTTCATGTTTTGCCCAAAAACCATGTTTTATGTTTTTCTTTTTTCAATTGTATTTTATTTATTTGTTTATTTTTTTATTGAATGTAAAGAATTTCAGATGTTTGTAATCAGGCATGATAAATACAGTATATGACATATTGTATCAATAAAAAACATAAAGAAATCGTTACTTGATATAAAATAAGCGTTACCTGAAATAAAATAAAATATAAAAAACTTTTTTAGTTCAGATATTTATTATTCATTATTTATTATTATTTATTATTCAGATATTATTAACAATTCTCATTTTGTTTTAGTTAAACTTGATCTACTAAAATAACTAAAACAATAAATATTAAATAATAATAAAAATGCTCATATAACAGCTCATTTTTAACAGTTCGTTTGTCTTTGAGTCATTATGTTTCTCACAGATTTCTGCTCGTTCTTAATCAGATACAGATAAAGTAGCACAGTAAAGATTACATTCATATGAATGCATTAGTGAGAAGTCGACTAGTTGACTCGTCGGTGCAACCCCTAATACACACACACACACACACACATACAGTATATATATAGTTAAAATCTGGTAAAGAAAAAGATTACACTGTCAGAATTAGAAAAAAAAATATTAATTACAATAATAATGCTTCCAATATTGCACAGATACTGAATACAAAATAATATTATAATATGTTATACTTTTTTTTTTCAAGGAAATAATTTTTCCCTATAATCTGTACTGAAATTGTGTCAAACGTCTAGAGTTTTCAACTGAAAAATCAGTTTTACTCAAAAATAAGAGTGACACCAGCAGATGTTCACTTGAGAACCGTTTCATGAGTAATCGACAGCTGAAATTCTGCGATGAATAAGTGCAAGGTCATAACACCAGGGTTAATTCTGAGCATTTAACACACGTGTGTGTGTGTGTGTGTGTGTGTGTGTGTGTGTGCACTGCAAACGCTGCAGCGGCGACACTAACTGATTCGTCAAGCCTTTAAACTGATGAGATTTTTTTCATCATTTTTAATCCAACAGTCTCCTAATGGCATTTGCTGCAATAATGCTGCTCTCTCTCTCCTGTGGGCTCTGTATATTTATTGTATATTTACGGCTCCGATTTATATATTTATTTCCTCATAAATTTTAATCAGGACTTCAAACGTTTTTGCATTGGCCAGCAGAGGCAGGGTTTTCCTTTGATCACTTTCACATTTTGCCTTTCTCTCTCTCTTTTCCCCTCTTCTTCCCTGTGGGCATCTCCGCTCTAATTGGTTGCCTGAGTGCTGTGTGTCTGTCATTCGCTCTGTCGTTGAAGATTAAAGTACGCCGGGTTTCCAGTGTTCACCAGGGTTGATTGGTGCCCTCACTTGGGATGCCATTGAAATGTGGCGAGCTTTGGAGTGTAAAAAAACTGTGACAGGCTGTTTTTTGCTTTGATTACGTCTATCCACCCACAAGAAAGAAGTCATGCAACCTCGCAGCATCACTCCCCCTCAGAATCCACACATGCAGAAGAACAGCACTGATGCACACACGATCTGCTGTTATCATCACGTTACAGTGTGTTCTCCCTCATTAGTCATTATTGCAGTTCTCTAGAATATCTTATACTAGTTCTCTTGGCCACAGAACCGAACTGATCAAAATTACTAGTTGCGTGATGAAAAGGAAATTCTTCTAGCTTGACTTGAATTCTTCAGTGTTTTGATGATTATTTTAAATCAAAATGTATTTAGTTGTGATAAAAAAATTAAGTCATTGTAACCTGACACAAAGAATGTAATACTTATTTAATTTAATTAAAAATCGTAAAAATCTTAAATAAATGCAATCTATTTAGAAATAAAAATATAATGTTAAATTAAAAATAAATAAAAATATGTATATGATAGTATACACAGTTAAATTCTCTTAAAATTATAATTTAAAATTTTATAAGAGAATTGTAATATTATAATTATAATTTATAATTGAATATTACAAATATATTAATATATAATTCGAATTTAATATTATATTATTACTATTTAAATGTGTATTTTAAATTATATTTTAATATTCAATTCAGTGTCTGTACCCTAATACAAATTTGACTCTAATTTATCAGATTAGACGTAATCCATGTTAAATCACTCCAGCGCAGACGAACCCCAGATTAATGATGCTTTGAAAGGCGCAGTCATTTTCTCTTCTGAAAAGCAGCCCTGTCTGTGACGATTCCTGCTTATGTTGATTTTATTTTGTTGCCCCAATGTTGTTATTTTTTATTCTTTATTTTATATTCTTTTCATAAATCATGTTTTAAAAGCATAATTATTTTTATTTTGTTCTTTCTTATGCCATTTGTTTTAAGTAACATATCTCAGCTGTATATCTCATTTGATTTCATTTGCTTTGGAATTATTTATGTACATAACAATAGGGTTTTATATATTTCCTAAAAGGCTTTGGATTAAATTGTCTGCAACATACTTAAATATAAATGTATATATGTGGGGCTTGTCTCTGCACAGGACAAATGATATGCATGTATTATACTAACACAGAAATATCGAATTTTTCCTCGTTGCAGAGAAGCGATTAGTGTGCCCGCTACCGTTACTAAGCCTTAAACAGTGCAATGGGTAGATAACCAGATGAAATGAAGCCTCTCCCCTGATCAGACTCTCTCTTCTCGCCTGATCCCGTGTTTCCTGCTCTGTGTTGATGTACTCAAATGACCTAGTGGTCAATGAGCTTGTATTAACATCTGACTCTAGCACAGGGTTACTGTTTGCTCTGCATGTGTGACGATCCCCGGGGCCCTTCCCCCAGGAGCACTGAACACATTTCAGATCAATACCTACATCCTTTGCCAAAGAGACAGAGAGGAAGTGAATGAACTAGAAACTGAGTGATGTGTGAGAGAGAAGGCCAGACTAGGACGAATCAGGAACTGAAGGTGTGTTCTCAGTGGCGTACTCTTACTTTACTCTTAGTTTACTATAGCAGTCTCGCTGTATCCCATAATACTATACACTTTCATTTTCAATATGAAAAATTATCAATTTTATTACATAACTTTATTTTGCATGTATAATCCAGTTTTATTTATTTTTTTAAATATTTAATTTAATAATAGTATTTATTTTAGTATTTTATTTATTTATTAATAATACTTATGTTTAGATACTATTTTTTATCAGTGTTGTTTTATTTATTAATATAATTTATTTTTGAGTATTTAATTATTTTTAGTATTTATGTGTCAATACTATTTTATTTATTATTTAAAAAAATGATTTAGTGTTTAATTAATAATATTTATTTATTTATTTATTTATCAATACTATTTTATTTAGGAATAGTATACATTTTTTTGTATTGTATTATTTAATATTTATTTATGCATCAATACTATTTTATTTATGAATAGTGTTTATTTTTTTGTATTTTATTGATTAATGTTTATTTATTATCATTTTTGTTTATTATATAATTTATTTATTTAAATTCTATTTACATATACTTTCCAGTATGCACAGTTTTCCATTCCCAAAACAGACAAAGATAATCAAGAAGGGATCATTGAAAGGGCACTAAATAGAGAGAATAAATACCTTAGAAACATATTCACAGAGAAGAATGACACATTGTTTGATGAAAAAATGACAATTATAATACTGAGCCTCTTCTACCTTTTAAAGATAATAGTTCACCTTTGCCCTTTTGAATTCATGAACATTTTTATTTTCGCCTGATGGGTGAGCAGGCATATTTGTGGCTATCCAGTGACAAAAGCTGTTGCTGCGCTGAGGCTGAGTGTACTGTCTTTGCCTGTCCTCCAGTTACACGCGCAGGTTTGATGGGAGGAGGATAAGCTCCATGTAGGGTTATCAGCAAGTCTGGCTTGCTGGCTCAATTTGAAATTCAATAATGAACCTCCATGTTATATTTCCTCCTCACTGTCAGGCCAGTGATAACAACCTTACTCACCCTTCTTCCCTCTCTCCTCGTCCTGTCCTTTCCACTTCCCTATTGCTCTGAATTTTTGCTGGCCTCAAATATTTCTTATCGCTCTGTGGTTTGCGGTAATAACAGGCAGCCAGGCTTAACACATTTTTATCAGGAATGTAGGCCACTCTGAACTTCGAACAATTTGAGTTATTTCACTTTCTCAATACTACACGAGATATTAAAGTTGCATATCTTCTCTAAGAGAGTCCTCTGTTTGCAAAACATGCTGTATACACATCCTCTTGCATTTGTTTACTATATTGTTATGCATTTTAATAAACTGGCACTTGAGGTTAGCACTTATATTCATGCTTTGGTTATAGTCACAAGTCTAGTTCCATAAGAAAACACCTGTTATGAACATGTATGTACAGCACATAATGCTTTAATGTTGAATTGAGGGTTATTCTGACTTTGAAGCAGCATTATAAGTCCATATCTCTTTCTCAGGCTCTGGCCATGACGGAGGTGAATGGACCGGTTAGTCCTCATGTGGCAGACCCTCAGATTGCCATGTTTTGTGGCCGTCAGCTTCTACACATGAACACTGAGAGTGGACAGTGGGAACCAGATCCTCAGGGGCGACAGGGATGCTTCACCCAGCCCAGCAAGATCCTGTCATACTGCCAGGAGGTGATTCTATTCTATTCTATTCTATTTTATTCTATTCTGTTCTGTTCTGTTCTGTTCTGTTCTGTTCTGTTCGGTTCCATTCCATTCTATTCTATTAGGCTCCGTTCTGTTCTATTCTATTCCATTCGGTTCCATTCTATTCCATTCTATTCTATTCTATTCTATTCTATTTGTGTTTGGTTTTGTTGTTTTGTTTTGTGTTTTGGTTTTATTTGTGCTCTCCTTTTTATTCTGTTTTGAGCTTTATTTATTGTTTTGAGCTTTACTTGCAGTATTTTGTTTTGCGCTCTATTTTAGTGTTGTCTTTTCTATTCTGTTGATACATTGTTCCATTAGTCTTTGTTTCATTTGTTTGTGCTCTATTCTCTCCTATTTAATTTGTTTTAAATATTTTTTGTTTTGTACTCTATTCTATTATATTTTAGTGTATTCTATTCTATTCTATTGTTACATTGTTCCATTTGTTTGTTTTTGTTTTGTTTTTTTGTTTGTGCTCTATTCTATCCCATTTAATTTGTTTTGAGGTTTATTTACAGTGTTTTGTTTTCTATTCTATTCTACTCTTTTCCATTTTAGTCTAGTCTTTTCTATTCCATTGTTATATTCTATTCTATGTTTTTATTTGATTGTTGATTTAGTTTGATTCCATTCAATGTTTTTATTTTGTTTTGATTCTATTATATTTGTTTTGTTCTTTTGTTACATTCCAGTCTTCTTTTCTATTCTATTAGACTTATTGTATTTTGCTTTCTTCTACTTTTATTCTGTTCTGTTTGACTCATGTAATTAATTTCTGTCAAGCACTAAACATCAAACTCAGCACACCTACATTAGCATGCGCGCTGATTGGTTTAATTATTATGTGGACAAGAATCTGCAGACAATCTCCACTCAAGCATTTTCTCAAGGTGAACGCCGAGGGCATCCTGTTCTAATATTAGCATTGTAAAACAAGACTAAAATGCCGTTTATGTGCATACACAGGGAACTCGATGCAAATCTCTTTCTAACTCTCGCCGTATTAAGTGTGCAGGATAATGGCCATATTTTTCACCATCAATCAGCGGTGGAGATTTATGATCTCCGTACACCCCGGGCTCAAATGTATTGTGCGGCTAATGTGACTGTATTCTCTGACTCCTAAGAGGATTGCAAGTTTTTCGTTCCCTGTTGTCTCATCTAGAGGAATTAGGGATGAGAAATGATGCCTGGTTGTTTCCCTCTGTTTTTCATGGCTGAAATCAGTCTAAGCCTGTATTATTGCATGACAGCAATTCTGAGATATCAGTCTGAAAAAAGCATGTTTTTGTCTCTCTGTGCTCTATAAGTGCCAGCAACGTCTGTTCAACCTTGTCTGAATCAACACGCTGTACCAACCTCCGCAGTATAAAATCACCTCGTTGTGCGCTAATCTGGGCTCAACCAGTCAACCAGTCATTCTGCCTAATGGCTTTTAAAAGCATTATTGTGCCTGCATTCTAGCCTGGCACGAAGTGGCGTATACATAAGCTAGCTGGCACGAGTGACATCAAAATTGAATGAAGAGGCCAACGAATATGTCATTCTCCTGGCTGGATGAGGTTTAGACTAGCAGGCGGTTTGCCAGTGGCCTGCGGCCTCATTGCCAGAGCTTGTTTAGAACATAATAATCCCTTCCCATATGTCTGTAAGATTACACTCTTACTCGCTTCAGCCCAGTGCGAATTGATTTGATGCATGCATGTACCCAGAACAATCTTTTTTTTAAGAATATTTGTATTCTTCATGATGTTAATTTGAACAGTATGTCATAATTAAGCCGAAATGGACTCAAGGTTGTCCTGTGTTGTGAATATATTTAAAGGATGTTGAAATGCAGCAGAGTCATAACTATATTCACAATTTAATGTTAACCTAAATAAAAAAATATTAAATAATAGACAAATTAATTTAATTGTTTTATTAATAAATTGATCCTTCCTTTCACTAGCAGATATTATCCCTGATAATAAAATAAAATAAAATGTTGTAATGAATAATAACGATGTTATTCAATGGAAATTGAGTACCTGTTTTAATATATATATATATATATATATATATATATATATATTAAGACGGAATAATGGAATAAAATATTAAAATAAAATAAAATTCATCCATATTCAATGGGTGTTGAGCATCTATTTTAATATATTGTATATATATTTTAAGACGTAATATTGGAAGAAAAAGTGTTGCATATTAATTTTTAGAGTTGTATTGAATTTTTATGAAGTTATTATTATTATATGTATATATGTATATGTATCAAATTCATCCTTCCACTAGAAGATATAGTCCCTAATAAACAAACAATAAATGAAATAAAATAGAAAATAATAAAATATAATAAAATTAATCAATTTTCAATGGATGTTGAGCATGTGTTTTAATATAAGGTGTATATATATATTTTAGGACAAAATATTGGAAGAAGCCTGTAGTATTGAATATGAATGTGAAAATGAATGAATATGAAAATGAATGAAAATAAATGTTTTTGTTGAATGTAGAATGTTATTCAATGAGTGTTGAGCATCTATTTTAATGTATTGTGTGTATATATATATATACTGTATATTTTAGGACAGACTATTGGAAGACAAGAAAACAATAGTTTTGAATATTAATGGTTATGAGGTTTATTAATATATGTTATTAATTACAAGTCGCTAATTTTTATATCTGTGTGACTGACCTTGTCTTGTCAAATCTATATATATAATAATATATAGCGAAACAACAAACCTAATGTGACAATACACTCATGTATATTCCTGAATATACGTACGCCTTTCTATCCATTTTCCCTCTTTTCCTATACTCCCTCCCATCTGTGTTTTATTACACTCAGTTTATTTATGATTATATTTGGAATCATAAATAAATCCTAATAATGTACAGATGACTCAGTATGACTCAGTGCCCCTGCAAACATGTTTTGAAGGTGAGGTGTAATTGCTTTGGAAATTCGGGAATAATACGCAATGAGTTTTCAGACGCCCCCTAGTGCCAAATTCAGAAATGTATTATTTTATTAACTTTAAAGTGCTGCAGTCTTAGCTGGCAAGATGGACTCCGCGACTCCCTCTTGTGGTCAAATGAGAGGCTTCCCATTGAAAAGTAACCAGCAGCTAAAAAAAAAAGCATCCATTATGTATTTATCTGGCTTGTTATTAATTGCATGTGTGGATTAGCTATAGGGTCATATTAAAAGACTCCCATGTGCAGCTACATTTTCAGAAACAACAATAGTTCACTGTGCAATAACGAATTGTGGCCAAATGGCTTCCAAGGATCCTTATCCTGGAGTGCTATTCATTTATTTTTGTCCCGCTCCTTTTCATCCCCTTGTTCTTTGTGTTTTCTTTTGTTTTCTGCATGATACACTTACTATTCCCCTGTCCTCTTTCCAGCTGTTGTGATCCTGACTCCTGTCCCCTGCTCTTTCCTCACGTGTGTTTGTGTCTGTCGTTCTCACCGTATGTCAGATGTATCCAGGACTGCAGATCTCCCATGTGGAAGAGGCCTCATCTCCAGCGACCATCCCGGGCTGGTGTAAGAAGGGCTGGGGTCACTGTCAGACCCGCTCCTTCATCGTCGTGCCCTACCGCTGTCTGGGTGAGTCACAAACACAGCCTAAACCCTTTATAATACAGATATCCCATCAAGAATGCAGTATAGACCAGATTTAATTAATCATCATTTAGTTTTTTATCTTTGGTGACCTATTCCTATAAGTATGACTTGTGAATGTACATTTTGTTTATGAATTTCTTAAGCATCATTGTATAGTACATTGCACTCTGCAGTGCCTCACAAGCATGTTATATCACAACCAAAAATATATAAATAAATCCTAAATCTGTTGGCTCAGTACTAATGTTGATGAATATGTAATGCTTGTGCAGCTGTTTGGCTCCGAGGGGCTTTTGTCCTTGGTTTTTGCTCACATTCTGCATATATTTTAAGTTCCCACTTCTTATATTCTTTGATTTGCAACATCAGCTCACGTGGGCATTTTCAAAAATGCAAACGCTACTTTTTTATTGCCAGTATTGTCTACCTCATTTCTCATTATAGTTTCTTTGAATTTATTTATATATTCCAATAATTATCATAATCACTTTATTGTTCAAAGGTTTGGGGTCTGTAGAATTTATTAATGTTTTTGGAAGAATTCTCTCATGCTGACCAAGTCTGTATTTATTTGATCAAAAATACAGTAAAAAGAGACATTGTGTGGAATTTTATTACAATTTAAAACGACTGATTTCTATTTTAATGTAATGTTTTAAAATGTAATTTATTCTTGTGTTGCAAAGCTGCATTTTTTTAGCAGCCATTTTTTAGTGTCACAAGATCCTTCGGAAATCATTCAGAATTATTTATTGTTATTTTTAAAAGTTGAAACTATGGAAGCCAATAAAAAAAAAAAGTAAAACGTTAATTGCGAAATAAGGTCATTTATATCTCACAATTTGGACTTTTTTATCTCGCAATTCTGCAAGATATAAACTTGTAAGACATAAACTTGCAATTCTGAGAAGAAAAGTCAAACGTTTTCGTTTTTTTAGTTTTTATTCCGTGGCAGAAAAAAACAGAAACAGAATTATGAGATGTAAACTCAACATTCAGAGGAAAAAATGTCAGAATTCTGACTTTGTATCTTGCAATACTGAGTTTTTTTCCTCAGAATTGCCAGATACAAAGTCTGAATTTTGAGATAAAGTCACAATTACCTTCTTCTTCTTATTATTATTATTATTTTTTAATTCCGCAGCTTCCATAGAAAACATTTGTGCTGCTTTTTGTGTGTGTATAAACTGTGATACAATTTTTTTTTTTTTCAGGATACTTTGATAATAAATAGTTCAACTGAACATTTTAAATATATATATATA